TGCACGCTTATTACAACATTGCGCCCTCGCGAAGGAGGATCCGAATAAATAAGCTAAGCTATTCTAAGCTAAGCTAAACTAACTAATCTAATTAAACTAATTACAAACCAAACGAATAAAGAAATAGCTAAACTAAGCTATTAAATTATTACAACACTTAACTAATTAGCACACTAATTAAATTGCAAAAACCAACTAATCATGCATGATATTTAAATTAAGTTGCTTCAGCTCTACCTTGGGAATTAGAGGATGCATGCGCTTGGTTGCCGCCTCGAAACACCTTTCGGTTTGCTCTTAAGAGGCTTTGTTTGCAGGGTTTCTCCAAGAACTTGTTGCACAAACTTACCAAATCCAAGCTGGAGAGTACATTAGTGGCCTACCGGCCATGAATGGTGGCTGCCGGCCAAGGGTGAAGCCTTGCCAGCCACCAGTGAGGCACTGCCAGCCACTGGTGTGCAGAAACAACAAACTGTAACAGAGGACAAAACAGAGGAAAATAGAGGTTCTTCCAAGGACATGTTTGTATTATACCACTCCCTATCACCTCAAAACATCAAGGGAGTGGCACCATTGGGTCTAAAGCCACCAATCAAGCATTTTCAATGCATGATGGCCAAGGATCCAACTTGTACACATTCAAAAATGCACAAAACAAAGACACAAGTTCACAGCCTTATCATGAGAGATCAAAGGCAATGGAGACCAAGAAACATGACACGTTTCATTACTATGAGTATGAAACGTCTCACATTTCTCGTGTTTGGATTAACGTCCGATCCAAACACATGCAATCCAACACACATATGCTTATCTTGCTCACATTTTACTTGATTGATTTTGTTTACACATTTTAACATTACCGATCCATTCTTTAACCGGTTAAGTCCAATGTGAGTGTCCTCTAAGGAGAGGGGTTAACCAAAAGGGTGGTTTAAGGCATGAGAGGGATTATGCCTTTGACTAGGAAGAACCCTCAAAAGAGGGTTAAAGTCATTTGAGCACAAACCCTACCTCATGTTTAAACACAACCTTAAGGCCAAACAACCCTCAAAGCAAATTGAAGAATGAAGAAATAAGGAAGGTGGCAGATATTCAATGCTGATATGGCATAAAACACAAGACTCTAACATGCAAAGAACTCATGTACAACATGTTAAGAGGCTTAAGCATTAAAACTAGTGAAGGACAAAACACTAGAGTCATGCAATACAATGCTCAAATGACTAAACCAACTATGGACATACCTCAAACATGCCAAAATAAAGGCTAAAATGTGCTGAGATGATAGCATGAAAAGCAAGAAAATGATGTTCATGTACTAGCTCACAAACAAGACATAAAGCTCAACTCTCAAAAGCACTTAGAGAGTGAAATATGCAGAAGTGTGACAGAGTTATAAGCACTGAAATCAGATGCTAAATGATGCCAAAACATGCAAACAACACATGCACAACATGTTAGAGGCTTTAAAACTCAAAGCTAGTAAGGGCCTTTGCACTACAATCATGCATAACAAGTCCCATATGACCCAAACCACTCAAAACAGAGTTAAAGCATGCTAAAACATGAGCAAAAACATGTTGGAGTGTAGCCAAAATAAGTTAGAATAATAGGCTAAAGCATCAAGTATATTAAGCTAGTAAGCATGATTGTACTACAAGTACAAAAAGCAAGCAACAAGTGGCCTAACTAGCCAAAAACAGAGTTGAAGTACATCAAAAAAGTCACAAAACATGCTTGAACTAAGCCACAAAAAGGTAGAAACACATGCTCATATGTTAGGCCATCAACACATGCAAACAAAACACAAGGAGGGGATGCTACCCCCTCCTATTTTCGACTGCAAAACCAAGTTTCTACCACTGAAATTCCTTAAGAATTCAGTGGTTAAAAGGCCACGAAAAGAGTGTTTTAAAGGCTTTAAAAGATGGCACAAAGCTTAGGAAATAAGCTACAAACGAGGGTGAGACACCCTATCAAACTACCATTTTTAACACTTAAAAATAGAGGTTTTTGTAGTTGAAAGCGAGGCCAAAAACAGCATGCAAAGGTGGTCAAACCAATGTACAAAAACAAGCTTAAAAGGGGTAACTCCTTACCCTTGAAGCACAGCAACAAATCAGCAACTTTCTTGAGCTAAAACCAACTTTGAGACCTCAAACCAAGCTTCAAGAGACCCCAGCTCCAATATGAAGGTGTTTGGCTAAGGGTGCTAGTGCAAATATGTAGAGAAAGCTCACTTTCAAGCACAAAATATAGAGAGAGAGGATTCTAGAGTGAGAGAGAGAGAGAAATATAGCTTATCCAAATTTTGTAACCCTTTGCATACATATAGATGAGCTCTATATATAGAAGATACAAAAGTCCCTTGAAGAGATCCAACCATCCACGTGCAAGCAGATAGGCTCATCTGTGCAAACAGCTGTCAAAATATCTACAAAAATATCTACTGATGCATTGGTGGCGGGCCGGCCATCAATGATGGCCGACAGTGCCTCATTGATGGCCGGTAGGGCTTATCAATGGCCGGCAGGGCAAATCCCATAGCCGGCAGCCCTCAATGATGGTCGGCAGGCCATCAAGAACATCATTATGCAAAGACCAACACATGGTCCAAATATGAGACAGAATGGAAACAGGGTCTGGAAAGACCGAACCTGGAGCATTCCGTCGCGGAAGTCGAGTACTCGACGAGCAATCAAACTTGTCGCTGGATGTACCTGCAAGAACATCCAAGTCTTGAGGACGGTCAAAAATGGGGTGTCTACAGGTCCTCTTTCGCAATTTCTTCATCGGAGCCTCATTTTTTTTTTGTTGTTTCCTCCACAAATGGAGATATTTCTTGCCGAGAAGCTCAAAGATTGGATAGCCACTTTGGACAGCACGGAAAAAGTAAATTTTCGAGATTTTGGCATAAATGCGCTTTTTTCATTTAGCCGTACTTCACTTTGTTTTCCGTTCCTCTATGTCGCGGTCCGATGTTGGGACCTAATTACACATATATTTCGCTTCGGAGCACAAGAAATATGTCCGACTCTTGAACAATTTCAACCAAATTTCACAAACAAAAATCAAAATGTTCTAGTCATTTATTATTTTGATAAATTTATTATTATTATTATTATTATTATTATTATTATTATTAGCATATTATTATTATTATTAGCAACAAATAATCATTTCACAAACACAAAATATATATTTAAATAGTCTCAAAATTTTATCATTATCAAAATAAGAAACAAATATAAAAAAAAAAATCACTAAAAACTAAATAAGTTTAGTCCATTATCTCTTAAATATATAAAATTTACTATTGAAATAGGACCCACCCAGAATTTTAACTAATCAAAGAGCAAATATTGTTCACTCATCCTAACCAATATCGGTTTGGATTCCCTCACGTTAACCATTTTAACTTAAGAGTGTTAAGATTTGGGTGCCGATTTTGGATTTAAATTCAGTGATCCGAATTATATACTTTTTAGTATACATTTAATAGAATATTTGTGTAAAAAATTAATAGTATACATTTAATAGAATATTTGTGTAAAAAATTAAGATAATCTGATATAATTATGTATTTAAATCATATTTATATTACAAAAAATGTATAGTTACTATTAAAATTATAATTGTCTCTGTTTTAAAAAAATAAATGTGATTCAAATATATAATTATCGATATTTAATCATCTTAAATTTTTACATAAATATTCTATTTCATGAATTTTAAAAAATAAATAATTTAAATCATTAAAATTGACTCAAAATAAATTTACAATGTCCAAACGCTCCATCAAAGTGGATGACCAGTTTGAAAGAATCCAATCCCAACAAATATAACTTGCAAATAACTTCGGCACTTGAACACATTGATAAATTACTGTGGAAAATCTGCTGTGTTTATATGTACAATTAGGTTTTTAAGAAAAAGAAAAAAAAAATCAAATAATCAGGTGCTATCCAATAGACACACAACAACACATTGAAATCTTTGATCCACGTCATTTTTGTTTATCTCCCCTCCTCTTCCCTCTCTTTCTCCCCTCTTCTTCCATTTTCGAGCCGTTTCGAGCTCGACCCTCTCGAGCTACGGCTCATTTCCGTATGTACAATTAGGTTTTTAAGAAAAAGAAAAAAAAAATCAAATAATCAGGTGCTATCCAATAGACACACAACAACACATTGAAATCTTTGATCCACGTCATTTTTGTTTATCTCAAAGATTTGTGGTTCCTATTTTTTTTTTTTTTGTTAAATACTAACGCAAGTGACTCATGGATATTATTTAATGTTATGAAGTTATTTTTTAAATTAAAAAAAAAATAATGATGAAAAGATTAATTTTTTTAAAAAAGATATGTAAAAAGTGTTATAAAATTAATAAAAAGTATCTTCGGATTTAAATTCTTTTATTATTATTATTATCAGTTTTTTTCTTTTGTGTCAAGAACTTGTTAGTAAGGGTATTTGGTGAGGTTTTTTTAAGCTAATTTATGATTTTTGGCTTTTAAAAAGTTATTTTGGACTGTTTGGTTAAATTTATTTCAAACAACATCTGATTCTAACAACTTATTTTAAGTCAAAAAGTTGATTCTGAGAAACTGTTCATCCCTTACTTCTGATTATCAGCTTCTGCTGTTGACATATTAATTCACGGTTATATTCTTAAATTTTTTTATTTTTTATTTTTTTAAAAATAGCAAAAGACCCAAATAGACTATAGAATATTGTTATTATTTTTTTATGAAAAATATAAACAAATAGTGAATAATAAAAAATAAAAGTTAATTAAAAAAACTACTTCACAACTTATTTAACAAACACTACTCACCAACTTAAATCTATAACCCAACAATTACACCAAACATATTAATAATTTCTGATTAAAATCTTAATTTATAATCTGTTTTAACAGTTACATCAAGCAGGAGGGTAAACTCTCCTCGGTTTGGATGGATTGATTCAGTGAGAAGTGACGAGAAAAAAGCCGTATGTTCCATAAAACGGCGCCGTATTCTTTCTTCCGTGTACAACTCACCACTCACCTCACCCAATAATCTCCTTAGCCTCTTCACATCAACTGTTCTTCTTCTTTCTTCATCTTCCCGAATGTTGGGTTCGCTTCAAAACCCTTCTCAGCTCTCAAAGAAGGTAATCTCATTCATATTTTTGTTTTTGTTTGTTTTCTTGATTTTCTTGTTTTCAATTTTACTAATTAGTTGTTATTCTGTATATCTTTTTCACTCACAGCAGCAGAAACAGGAAAGAGAATAGTTTGCAGTGAGTTTCAAGCCAGAGAATTTCATTCCAGGTCTAGTCATTGGTTTCATTTTTGGGCTGTTCTTGGACTTATCAAAACCCATCAAAAACAATAATAATACTACTCCTAAGAAGGCCAACCTCTTACTGGGAAATCAGCAAAGACTGGTCTCAACTAACACTGATGAAGAGCTTAAAATGGTACTGTCTCTTATTGCACTGCCTCAGTTCTTTGTTCACTCTGCTTTATATCTTTCTTCAAACATTATTGTTGTAGAACTCAATTAAATGTTGTAGAAAACATTGTTTGATTTTAATTGTTTTTGTTTTTGGGAGTTTTCTATCAATGAATTTGATTTAGAGGGTAATATGTGATGGGTGGGTTTGATCTTTGTGCTTAGGAGTTTGGTATGATGTATTTGGGGATTTTGATCAATACTAAGCATTTTGGTAGGAACTGTTGTTAAAAAATATGGAGTAATCCCATTAATATGCTGATACTAGAACCCATTTTTTTGTGTTATTTCCTTAGTCAGTCAGTGAGTGTAGTTCAGATTGATTTTTAATTGTTATGTTACAATAATTGATGTTTTCCATGTATTTAAACTATACCTAAAAAAGAAAAAAAACCCTAATTGATCGGATTGGACTATTGTTGCTTGGAAGGCCTTTTGTTGAATTTTGATTGCAGTGTTGTAAGATATATACGAGTCTATTCATTTTCTTATATAGTCCTGTAAGCACATAAAGGTGAAAGATGTAGGTATAGATGTAGGTATAACAGGCTTCATTTCCTTTTGAAGATGATTCATACATTTACTAGTTTTTTTTGTTTTTAATTTCTGATTTCCAAATTCCAAGTTGGGAAATTGTGATGGCAGGTTTTGGTGGTTAGACAAGACCTGAAGATGGGAGCAGGAAAGATTGCGTCCCAGTGTGCTCGTAAGATATATTTCACTCTGAACAATGTTTGAGGTTTCCCCTTTGATTGCACTTGGTATCACTCCACGATCTCTGTGCATTGCTCAGTTCTCATTTATTTGACTAATTATTTATTTTTATACCTGCAGATGCTGCTACTGGGATGTATTCAGAACTGATGCAAAGGTTTGACAATGCTAAACACAGGATTACTTCATTTATTCAAGCCCTGAAACTTACTTTGAGTCTAATAGTTTCTTTCCCCTCTCATTCTCTTTAATAACTAACATCCTTAATTGCAAAAATTAATCTTTTGAGGAGGAACCAAACTTTGTTGCTTGCTGTAGCTGTACACATGCTGTCACTGTTTAACCTTCATAATTTTCCTTTTTTCTTATGCACCTCCTCATGTGATGTGTTACTTGAAAAAATTCCATGTCAGTGTACACGTGCTCGTTATTCATATGCTTTAGAAGATTTTGGTTATTTATTGAAATTTCTTAAGCAAACCAAGTACTCTGATCAGTTATGTCGTGTGCGTGGATCCTGAATTCCTTCCCCATAAAGCCCAAGCTCAATTGACTTGCTTTTTAATTTGACAAGTCTTAAACCAAGAAACAGCGTGGAAATACTCTAGTATATTTTCCTAATAAAAAAGGGAGTGCATCAGATGACCACATAAATAGCAGTTTTTGTTATGATGATCATCATTATTTGTATTGCTGTGTTAAAGGGGCGGTGCTCATATATTTGTATGATAGTATCATATGTTGCATATATTGCAGTCAGCGGTCCCTTTTGAGGCAATGGGAGCTATGTGGACAACCCAAAATAGTTGTCACATGCAAGAATCAACAAGAAATGTAAGCAGGTGATCTCATTGTAAATTCGTTCTCAGTTACATGCAAGCAAACTGTCAGCGATTGTGTTTATAAACTCTCTTTGATGTTGTTTGTTGACACTGTTGACACTCTGTCAGGAATAAGCTGAAGGAAGCAGCTGAGAACATTGGACTTCCAACTTTTGTTGTTGCTGATGCAGGACGGACACAGGTGGACTATTAAGGATATAATTATGGAGGAATAAGATGGATGATGATAGACTAACATTGTTACTTGCCAAAATTTAAATTAAGAAACTTCTTTTTTAATTTTTTCCACTCAAGATGAAACATTTTCAGCCAAAATATTGGTGCCTAGTGTGCATGCTTCTGCACATGCTTAAGCTTTTTGGTAGTACAATCTAATCTACAACACTGATGTTGTGGGCCTTGTGACCTTCTTTTCTTGGGTGATCAAATTCTAAACTGGCATAAAGTATTTCTGCCTAGAATGCTAGTGAGATCTTCTATAAAACACGGGTACATGGAAATGATAGTATTGAATGAATGATAAGAGAGTGCCTAAACTTGTGAAGACAAGCATGGGCACATCCTCTTATCCTTAGCTTACGGACATTCAGCCTAACTTGACAAATAGATAGTTTAAGATTTATATTTCCAGAAGCAAATTTTGAAGAATTTTTTTTCCTTGCATCTACTACTGTTAAAAATGGAAGACAAATGTATTTATCAAAAAAGAAAAAAAAAATGCAAGACAAATGAAATTGAACTGAAAATTAGTTGATGCTTAAGCAGCTTCAAAACAGCATATGCTGCATGCATTTTTGTGTGTGTGTGTGTGTGTGTGTGTGTGTGTGTGTGTGTGTGTTTGGTAGGGGTGGGGAGGTCACATTAGTATCATCTGAATTTGACAAGTTGGAAAAGACAAAGATATTCAAAGATGACTCAAATTGTAGATTCTGACTCATATTTGCAATGCAGTTGGGTGTTTAAAGATGTTCAATTACTTGGATATCTATTTGTTTGTTGGTTTTCTGTTTTTTTTTTTTTTTTGTTTTTTGGAGAAGCCATCATGTATTTGATCTTCAAACTTCTTGTTTCACACAGGTTTCGGCTGGGTCGAAAACAGTTCTTGCTATTGGACCTGGTATGCTTTTTATCTGTTTCACTTCACTGCATGATCCTTTCTTTTTGTTTTCAAATTATTTCCAACTGTAACTGTTACCTCTGCCTCTGAATTGTTTTAATTGCTTCCTCTTATGTACCTTTCATACTCAAAATGATGTTTACTTTAACAAAATGCTAGCATGGCTGTTGGTCTATTAAGCTTTTTGCTTTGCTTATGAATTTAGTTAATTCATGTGTGGTGGATCATTGTCAACTCAACTTAACAAGCTTTTGTCACAATTACCTAGTTCTATTAGCAGTCCTATCCTCAGTTAAGTTTAAGAAATGTCATGTCATTTTTTATCACCTCAATCCAAGTTCTCCTAGAGTTCCCCTACTTCTTTTACCACTCTCCAAATAGATCAAATCACTCCTCCTTATAAGCACTGTAACACATTAATCATCTATGATGCACATGACCATACCATCTCAAATGGATTTCTCTCACCCCATCCTCAATTTGTGGTATTTCCTACTTCTTTCTAATTGAATCATCTCTTAATCTGTCTTTTCTTGTTAAACTGCTCATCCATCTTAGTAGTCTCATTTGAGCTATACTCGTTTTCTGCACATGTTTTTTTTCCTAACCACCTTTCATTTAGTACTATACATCATAGCAGGTCTTATAACAGTCCTATTACATTTTCCCCCTTCAACTTGATAGGAATCTTATGATCACACTACACACTTGATAACCTCCCCCATTTCATCCACCTCACCCTAATTCTATGTGCCATGTCCTCCTCAATTTGTCCTTTATGAATAATCGACCCAGGATATTGAAATGATCACTCTCAAGTGTGACCATGATAATTTTTCTGTTAAGTTAGTAGATGCATAATGCCTAGTTCATATCACTAATCTCTCTGTTGGAGTAATTCAAACATGCTTATTTCACAAAAAGTATTATTTTGACATTGATAATGATGAAGTAATTTCAACGCGCTTATATTTCATGAAATGTATTATTTTGACATGGTTCATACACCTAATACACAGTTTATAGCTTCGCCGTATAGTTTAGATGGCATGACTAGACTTTCAGAAAGTTCATACCTCCCAACTCCATGTTGTCTGCCTTTTATGACTTATAGTGAATGCCTTTTCCTGTTCAACATTAATATAAAAAATTAAATTTTCTCTTAAATATTAATTTATTTATTTTTAAGCAGGAAGCAAGGCATCTGTGGATTCAATAACACGGAAACTGCGCCTGCTCTGATGGCATTTGGCACATTTTAACTACTATGCTTGCTGCCATAGAACTTCATCGGTTAAACCTTGCCTCATGATTACCTTGTAAATGTGATTCCATTACTTTTTTGTGCACAGAATCCATCCCATGTAAGAGAGTTGCGACCAATTTGCGATTGGATTACGTGCCCTTCAAATTTTTCATGTGATTCAGGTCAGTTTTGCAGGGAGAAGTGAAATAGAGGTGCTTTGGTTGGATAATTTTGTGATTGAATCAGATGTACAACTTACTGCTCTTCATGGAGGGGAAATTGCTGCTTTCTTTTATTTTGGTCAAAATAATTTAATTCTGACATTTTTTTGTACAACAATCATACATTCCTTAATTTATCACCACTAACCCACCCCCTAATGATGTGGCATTGAGGTTAGACCCCACATAATGAAATATTTGACAAATCAAAATTTGACACTTGTCAGACATATCATTAGGAGTGATTTTTAAGTGTGATAAATTAGGTTGTGTTAGCAAAAATCTGGTTTGGGTCAAATCAACAAGAAAAACCAATTTTCACAAATAACAACGTACTCAAGTAATGTGATTGGTGTCCTATGATTTGACAGATTCAAGGACTTCTTTGGATGTTATAATGTGAAAAAACAAGTACAAATAAACTGAAATTCGATTGAATAACACTTAAACTTATCACTTAATTACAATAATCAAATTATAAGTTCAAACAACATCACAATCAACAAGGTCAAATTGGATTACAAACACTGAATTACAGATAAACTACTTCTAAATACAAGAACTACTCCTAGATAACTACTCCTAAATTTCACCAATTCCCATGTCTTGTTTTTGTGCATGGCATTCACTTCTTTAAACATATGAGTTGTGAATTTGGTTAAAGGTCCTTTCTTCGAATTTTCAATTTTTATATGGCTTTATTGGCCATGCCATGTGTCCATTTATTGGCTTTCCACATCTACCCATGATCTACAATGCTGTAACTGCCTTGAACTCTCTTTCCTTTTGAGGTTGTTAAGTGTCACACTCTCAATCTTCTTTTTTGAGCCACCATCTTTATGTCCTTGAATCCTGGACCTTTTATTGCACATGAGCATGCCCTTGTCAACAGAAGATTTCAAGCTTATGCTACCAACATTTCTAGGTTGTCATGTGTCACACACTCACACCCTCAGTCTTTCTTTTTAAGCCTGTCTGAAGGCCCTTGAATCTTGAACCCCTGTCGATAGGAGATTCCAATTTATAGTGCCAACAAGTGGCTTAAAATATTTTTATTTTTTTTATTATCTTTGTTTTGTGTTTGCGTGTTTTATTTGAGAAACCCATCAACCTTTCAAATTCACAGGCTGTACAATTGGAAATCAATAAGAGCATCTTCAACGGTTTAACAAAATTTTTACTAAATTTGAGTAAAAAAAAATTAATTTTTTTGATCTGATACGCGTAGCTCCAATGGTTATGGTTACTGTAGTGTGTATCAAAAAAAGAAAGGGACATCCGGTGGGTCGACTGGTTCAAATTTTTTTTAAATAGTTTGAACTAGTAATTTAAACCAGTTCGCAGGCCAATTTTTGCATGAGCCGGTCGACCAGGTAGCCAACCGGGTGGTCGACCCCGTAGTGTAAAAGTTTTATAAATTTCTGCTTTAACGGCTATGCACAGTGAATTGGTGTAAGGAGTAAGTCGTCTTCAGTTTGATAAAATATTTGATGTTTTTTCAATTTGATACTGTTTTGGTGCAATCGTTGGAACACAAAAAGCATTTTTTTTCATCAAATTTAAATTTAATGTTAAATTTGATGAACGATTGGAGATGGCCTAAGAAAAGTCCTGTTATACTCATGTTTTAAGGAATATATTTCAAGAAAATTACATAGGAAGGGTTGATTAAAAATATTTACACAGAAAAGATGGAGTGTAATTTTTAGTGTGAAGAAAAAAGTCAAAAGAAAAAGTTAGGCTCATCATATTTTTGTAATTAATTTTTATCTTTATCCTGATTGATAATTCCTCCATCAATAATGGTAAGGATCATAAAATATATATCATGAAATTCATAAAAAAAATTTATTCCTTGATTAATATATGATATTTTATTGTATGAATAATTCAAATATAAAAAATCTTTCATGATATTTTTTTCATAACCCTTAACGTTACTCTTCCTCTATATGTTTCTATAGAATGAAAGTTTCCATTAGGGGTGGGCAACGGTTTATCCGAACCGCTCAAACCGCCCAACCCGCCCAATCCGCATATAAATGGGCGGTTTCACAAACATAATGCGGGCGGATGCGGTTTGAAATATGACAAATTTGCGGGTCGCGGTTTAAACCCGCAACCCGCAAAAACCGCCCGCACTTTAATTATTATTGTTATTATTATTATTTTTTGTATACCAACTTTGTAACTTTTACAGGAACTCCATTATGTTCTCTATGACACTAGAATCCTTATTTTTAAGTATTTTTTAACTTTCTTAATGCTGTAGAATTATCAAGTCCTAAACTTGATTTCTTATATATTTTCATTGGTGACTCATCCACTTTTTTATAATAAAATTTTCCTTCAGGTGGTCGATGGAACTTCTAGTTTGATTATTGATTACTGAACTGGCAATTCTAATTGCGTACAACCTTTAATGCATTGATATACATTTTTTAATGCATCGATATACATTTTTTTCATGACAAAAATGCTAGTGTAGGGTCTCTTTGTTTTAGGTACTTTCATTTAACGCATTGATATTCAATTTTTATTTGTAAACTAATCGGAAAATTGTTGTCAAATAATCACAAATATATAAAATGAATCTTATGCCTAAATTCGATAGGAAAAAAAAACTCAAAAATTAATTTTTAAAGAAAAAAATGTAAACCGCAAACCGCCCGCAACCGCCCGCACATCCGCAAACCCTATCCGCATAAACCGCAAACCGCACTGCGGGCGGTTGCGGGTTGACTTTTTCCCAAACCGCATAGATGCGGACGGGTCAAAACCGAACCGCAAACCGCACAAAACCGATCCACGAACACCCTAGTTTCCATTCCAATTATGTATTTTCTTTAGATAGAAAAAGTTTTTTTTTTTTTTTAATTAATTTTCTGATCCTATTTTTCCCGGAAGAATGAACCCATCTAAAACCCTGCGGACTGTTCCATACCCATTTCAGCAACCATCCTTGCAAAACCCTAAAACCTTAACGTTCCACAATTTCACCATCTCCAATGGCCTCTCGATATCGCTCAATATCCAGACCTACTTTTAACCTTCTCAAATCCACTATATCCACTCCCAAACCCAAATCTCTACCTTCTCTTCAGTCCCCTTTCTCTTCTCCAACACTTCGGAGGCAAATCTTTGAAACCCTTCTCATACCCATTTCAATTCTTCAATCAAAGTTCGATTTTTGACACTTGGGTTTTGAATTTCAGGTCAGTCTCGCAAATGGGTTCTCTTCAATCTCTGCTTCCCTTGCACACAGCTGTCTCTTCGGCTCGACTCACCTCTTGCCTCGGCATCGACTCCAAGGGATCCAGGTCGTTGTCTCAGGGTATGCTTTGCAGTGCAAATCCAGGGGTTTGATTTTTGTATTGTATCCGTAAGCAACTTTTTTTTGAAAACTCTTGATTGATTAACATTTCTGTTTCACTTGACTTGCTTGATCTTTTTTCATGTTTGTGCATTTTGTGATTTTTTTTAGTTTTTTCATACCATTCATTGTTGTTTGTGTTGTAAATCTGGCTAATGTGGACTTGTATTTAATGATCTTTGAGTTAAACCTGTTGCTGGTGCTTATTAGTTTCATGTTAATCAGTAATTTAATTATGCTGTTCTATCATCTCATCAGATTAATATTGTTGGTTCATTTATTTTTCCTGTTTTTTGGTGCTAAAATTGAACTTGGAGTCAACAGTTTGGACAGGTGTTTGGAGATGTGGTAACAAAACTAATTCATCATGAAAATTTGGATTTTCAATATTTGCAATGTAATATTTTATATTTTAGTGAACGTGGTTTCAACTGATACTGCTTTGAACTTTCTGACTTGCAATGAACAGAAACTGCTGCTGATATGGATAATTTAGATTTTCCTTGGGGAAATCCTATGGTGTCCCTAAAGGGGTGCATATGTATGCGCCCTACCACAAAAATGCGTAAGATCGCCACAAATTGGCGTAACAAAAATATTCAAAATTTTGTGGTTGATGTTGTGTGGTTGATGTTGTAAAAGTTTTGGCTTGGTTACGACATTTTTTGTTAAGCTAATTTGTGGTGAGGTTATGCATTTTGTAGTTGATGTTACGAAATTTTGTGAAAAAAGTACACATTTTGTGGTGGGGTGCACACCATATCATTTTCTAGATTTTATAACATTTTGCTTTGATCTTTTAACCTCAATCTCAATCAATGTTTACAGTTAAAGAACTGAAGGCTTATTTAATTTTTTTTTTAATTTTATTTTACGTGATTAATATCAAAGAACACATTTTGATGAATAATGTTTTCTCCAACCACTGAATGAAGGGGTTGACATTGGATGGACGTGTACCAGTGAACCATGATTGAATAAACTATGTACAAGAGCAGACAATTGTGTTGCATTTTTATATCTCGGCCTCGTCTCACTTTTAGCCATCATGATTTCTGACTGTTGAGCAAAGGAGTCCAGAGGTGAATTTTGGAGGAAAAAAATCGTTATCTGTGCTAAAAAATAGGGACCAATATGAGTTTGTTTGTCCCTCCTTTTTTTTTTTTAGTTACCTCATATGGAAGAGCATATGCGTAGAAGTTGGCAAATGTACAATTTCTTATTGGTTCATATATTGTTGGCTATAAGCCTATAAGTATAAGTTCTCGTTGAAAAAGAAAAAGGAAAGCTATAACTACATTTTTCCTTTCCCTCACATTGTATTCAATTAAATGCTCAAACTTTGGAAACCTTTGCTACTAGTTGTCTCTACCTTTAAAACTTTAGTTAGGTTTTGTTTACATTTATCAAAGGAGAAAACAGCAGAAAATTAAAAGTGATGCATTGATGTGATTCATAGAAAAATCAACCCCTTCATTCTCAATACATGCCCATTTCCAGTACCCCTACAAAGAGTAAAACAATATTAAACATTTCCAAACTCCATTCAGAATTTAGAAATATTTTGTTCTTAAAATTTGTATAGGTTTTATTCTTTCTTTGGTTGTATAATTAAAAAAATTTCAACTATGATATTTTTGTATTGTTATGCAAGTGTTGGATTGCTTTCTGTTATTAACAAATATAGCTATTTATATTGTTTACTCTTTTTCTTTGGATAACTTAATTAAATTATTTTCCAATAACCATTTAACAAAATTACTCGTTTTAGGATTTTTATTAGTATTAATTTGTGTGCTTATCACAATAGTTGGGGAGATTAGAACGGATGTGATCCATAAAATTAAGGCGGGGTGGCTTAAATAGAGGAGTGCGTTTGGGATATGCGATCAACGTGTACTCACTAGACTAAAAAGAAAATTCTATAGAATGGCTATTAGACTAGCGATGTTGTATGGAACGAAATGTTGGGCAATTAAAAAATAACATGTAGATAAGATGAGTGTTGTAGAGATGAGGATGCTAAGGTAGATGTGTGGCAAGACTATAAAAGACAAAGTTAGGAATAAGTATATTCGTGAATGTGTAGAAGTAGTATCGATAGAAGATAAGTTGATAGAGAGCAGATTGAGATAGTTTGGCATATATAATGGAGACCAGCAGAGGCAGTATTGAAGAGATACGATACAATGACGGTAGATGGAAGTGTTAAGGGAAGGGACAAATCTAGATTGACGTGGGCTAGTGTAGTAATTGGAGATGTGATTTTCCTTAATTTGACTAACCAAATGGCCGTTGATAGAGTCAAGTCTGAGATGGTTTGGCATATACAATGGAGACTAACAGAGACAGTATTAAAGAGATACAATACAATGACGGTAGATGGAAGTGTTAAGGGAAGGGACAAACCTAGATTGGCGTGGGCTAGTGTAGTAATTAGAGATATGATATTCCTTAATTTGACTAACCAAATGACCGTTGATAGAGTCAAGTGGAGAAGAAGGTTTTATGTGGCTGACCCTATTTGATGGGACTTAAGGCTTGACTTGGTTTGGTTTGGTTATTAATTTGTGTGCTTCATTAAGAGTTTTTTATTTTTGCATTGAATACCTTAGATGTGAACAAAAGAATACATTATCATTTTGGTTGGTGATTTCTGTATTTTTCCAATTTATTATTTCCAATCTATCATGTTGTTTTGTCCTTGTGTACAAACTTAAGACCAAAATAATAATAATAAATGAAACTAATCAAAAATTCACTTTTGTTTGTTACTTCCACTTGATTATGTCAAGAGGAATAATCTCTCATCCACTAACTTTCACAAACCAGACAGCTACACATTTCCATGATTGAGTACAAGTGTGGTTCATGTTGAATCAGTATATGTTATTTAAACATACAAACTACCTCTCCCAATATTTGCTTAGGGTTGGTTATGGTGTTTCCACATGTTGTGGTTGGCTTTGATTTTTGTGATTCAGTATTGAACTTACTGTTGTTTATAGATATGATGGGTGTGTAATTGTTATTTTTAACATCATATTATTTACTAGGACCAGGTAAGAATGAGATTGTGTGCTTAAAGAGTGTGATGTATTCTTGGTTGTTTGTTACATATGTGGCTCTTCATTATGCCTATGTCTGTTCTGTGTACTGATTATTAATCTCATCTCCTCTATGTTTCATGTTTTAAGCTTGTATCACCTATTGATGTTTCTATAATCTAGATGCAAAGAGAGAGGCATATAAAGAATACTGAGAGAGGCGCTTTGTTTTCGATGGAAAGGATGAAAAAATAATATGGAATTTTTTCCATCTTGTGATATAATACCCATCACTCTTTGGTTATATGATTAGTTGATTACTAAAAAAAGAAGAAGATAAGCTTGTTGTTCTAAAAATTAGGCTCTATTGTATTACCATAATGAAACCCAGTCAGTGTGTTTGGTTTGAGTTTTCTGGATTAAGTTTTTTTAAAATTGAGTTTTTTGGTTTTCGTGTTTTTTTGTTTTTAGTGAATATTTTTAAAATTTTAAACATTTTTTTTACTTTTTTAGATGCACCTTACTTAGATGTATCTAAAAAGTAAAAAATTTGTGAAAAAATATTTTAAAAAATTAATAAATACATAAAAATACAAAAAATGTACTGAAGTCTTGTATTTTTTTTGTATTTTTGGTATTTAGTGAATTTTTAAAATATTTTTTTTACAATTTTTTTACTTTTTAGGTATATTTATGTTAGGTGTGTCTAAAAAGTAAAAAAATTGCTTAAAATATTAAAAAAATTCAGTAAAAACAAAAAAACACGGAAAATAAGAAAGTAGAATTTTCTGAAAAGTGTTTTTTGAAAAATGAAAACAAGCAATATTGTTCATAAATGAAGCTGATTAGCAAACAAAGAATCTGTATTAGGAGAGATTTTACATTTTGTTACAGCCCATTCCAACATTGAGTTTGGCGGGTTTTTCAGAAACACTTGGCACTTACTAAAACCAGAACACTCCAATTCCAAGTGTTATACCCTCAATTATCAAATAGTTTGGTTTGAGCCTAAATCATTGATACTTGATTCATGAAGTTAATGTTTGCTTCTGTTGTATTGTCATTGGATAATTTTCATAGGTTGCATAAGAATTCTATTTATTTATTTGTGCATAGCATTTTTGGGAAGGTTGCTGAAGTAATAAGGTAATGCATGTTTATGGGAGCTAAGGGAGCTTGTTATGCTGTATGATGTCATAGTGCTTTGCTAATTTACTGTTATTCAAACTCTCTGCTTCCCACATGCTAATCAATAAAAATCAGGCATTTATGTGACTATGCATGTGGAACGCCCAATATAAGTTACAACTCTATCAAACTATGGGGGTTTTTCTTTCTGTATGTTGATCTTGTTTACTTATACTTTGTCTTCATTTTTTTATCTGCCATTCCATTTATATTTCTTTTCTCTATTAATAAATTGAAAAACATCTATATTCCTGAAACCCAAATATTTGTGTAAAGAAAAAGTTGTTAAGAACCTACTGTTCTGCTCAAGTATCATCATAAATAAATGCACTTGAGCATCCACATTTTAGTGTCCCTATTGATGGTTATTAGAGGAATGCATGTTCTGTTATGGTGAAAGCATATGTGATTTTTTGTGCACAGCTGGCCTGTGTGACTTGTTCATGCATCAGAATCCAAGATTAGTGGTTCTGGTACAGAGAGTTCAGTGGTGGTAATGTGCAATTTTACTGGACTTGATCAATTTACATTTCACCATTTCATGTTGTGATAGTCCCCAACTTCCTTTATGCATGTCATCTTTTCATGTTCAAATGGTGATAGCAAACAAGAAATACTGGGCAACCTTTTTGCTTTCAACCTCAGCTCAGTTTGAACCGTGACTCCACCAACAAGATGTGAACTCTGAGCTTGTATATGGTGTATTTATGTCTTTATGTATATGCACCATTTGCATTCTCCAGGTTCCAGTGAAAATCTCATGCACTTGTAATTAGTTTAAGTTGTTCAATCAAATTATTTTCAATCTTAATTCTCATGTTTGTGTGCTAATATGACTTCGCTCAACCTCATTCCTTGCTTCCAAAATCTTGTTCAACAAGAGCAACTTCATTACATCACCTGAGCATTACTTTAGACATGCTAATGCTAACAATGGATAACAGCATCTAAACTTCCCAAACGTATATGAAACTTGATGGTGCCGTATGTTTGGGTTAACTGCAGTGTATGTTGTGTCGTATCTGATTGTTCATTCACAATTGGTTTTTTAGTGATTTATTTGACTTAGATTCTCCGCTTTTGTGGAATCTTTGCTATGTATGCTAATGTTAATTATTTTTTCAATCTTTATTTTTTCAGAACTAGGTCTCAGTGTGCCGCGATAATAGTCTGATATTGAGAAAAGGCAAAAAGAGAATGATTTCTTTCATTGATGAGAGTCATGGCTTCTCTTCTACAGTGATGCACTCTCATGTGTCTCCTGAATTTATTTTTTTGAACTACTTGTGTACTGGGCACAGAGGTGCAACACTTGAATTTCGGAAAATTTCACAATTCTCATCTCCGCTCCGCCTATGTTGAATCTTTAATCGCAAGAATGAAGGAAAAAGGTTGTTATTTTGAAATTGAAGGCCATGTTTGTTTGGGTGGACATGAGCTTGGGATTGGACTAATAGTCCAATAAAATTATTAATTCGATGTTTGGTTAAACAATTGAAGTACGGATTAATTATTTTAAACTTGACTATTAGTTAAGATAGGATACATAATCCAACAGATTGGTTGTCCTAGGACTATTAGTCATGGGAATGTTAATCCAGTCCGCCCAAACAAACATGGCCGAAATGTATAATTACCGATGGGATTGAATAATTTGGAATCCTAGATTATATGTTTGTTTTACTGTGAAATCGAAGTATTCATTTCAGTTCTTTTAAACAAAAATAACTGGGGAAGTAGTGTTTCTTTAATTTAGCAAATCTTTATATCCTTGTATGGATGGAGCTTATTTGGTGATGGTTGGTTGACTTGGAATTGGAGGTTGTAACCCCTTTCTTCCACAATAAGGGATGAGTAGTAGTGTGCATGTCTCTGAAGTACAGGTGAGAGAGTGGGGGAGAGATTATATGAGGGATGAGTCTTTCTCTGTCTCTCAACTAATGTCTCCTATCCCTTTGAAAGGGCCCTTAGACCCTGCATTTATGTCTCCATGATTTCAATGCACTTGCATGTGGGACTCCTCCTCTCTCTCTCTCTCTCTCTCTCTGTATATGTATATGCGTCTCCTCTCACTTTTGTGGTCTTCCTCACCCGGATATATGGCAAGATATTTTGATTTAGTAATTCTTTAATGATTTTTTTAAAATACGGAACCAATCATGACTATACATAGATGGAGATACAGACTGAAAAAAAAAAAATTTGGTGTCATTTTTTTCTTTTGCGTTTTTTTTTTTTGAGGACCGAAATATATATTTTAACTTATTTCTAAGAATATGAGGGACAATGGGAGCTCTTAAGTAGCAGTGTGAATAGAAGGGACGAACTTAAGAAATCTGTCACAGTTCAATCTCACCAAAGACGGACTTTGAAATCCCAGTATAGAAGATTGGGGTAATGCTATTTGGGTGATTAGGAAAGATATGAACTTGAGAAATCTTTCACACTTTGCCAAAGATGAGTTTTGAAATCCCAACCTCTTATATGAGAAGATTGGGGTTAATGCTATTATTGCGCTAGAAGCGTATAAGGGACAAAAATAAATATAAAATGAGGATAATAATTCAAAAATCTTGAAGCATCACGTGATCTTGATTCACATTAATTACAAAAATATCATACACTTACTGTTTAAATCTAAAATTATTAGAAATGTTTGTTTTGGGAAATAGATTAAAAAATGACTTTTTAGTGTAAAAAAATAGAAAGGTGATGCGATCCAAAATAGGTTAAAAATCAAAAAATGACTTTTAGAAGTTTCCAAAATAATAAGTATCAAATTTTCTTTATGCTGTGTTTGGTTGGAAAAAGGAGAAATATGGAAATGTAAAAGGGAAAAGGTGTGGAACTGGATGAAATGTAGGTATATTTTATTTACATTTCACCTATTTTTTATATTTTCCTTTTCAAATTTATCGTCAAATCTTCTAACCAAATACAATATTAGTATATGAATGCGATTAGCTTTGTGTAAATACCTAACTTTTGATCGAAGGCAAAAGCACCAAAAGGAAAGCTCTCAAGTTTTTTTTCCCCCCAGCTTCAAAACTTTCCCTTCTGTATATAACATTTGGAAATAATAATAATAATAATGTTAAAAGGAGGATTATATATTATCATTTTTTTTAAAAATCTTTCTACATATTTGTGATAGATTATGATAAATTTCATTAAATTTTAATGTAAAATATGCATGCATGTGATGAAGATGACATCATATACGACTGTTATTATATTATAATCTATATAGTATGAAGTATCAAAGAGAAGCATGTGACCTCCGCTCACTTTGCTGACTTAAAATATTAATTAATATATATATACAAAGTAACCTGTATGAATAACGGGGTACATTACTAGTGTAGTGAATAATTATATCCATTTAAATAAAATAAAATAAAATGGATGTACCTCATGATATTCTATTAAGGCTTGTTTGTTCAATTACTCTTATACTATTTAATTTTAATGGTATATAAAGAATCAAAATGTACAGTGGTCTCAGACTATGCATGAATTTGTAGAATATTTGATTAATTAAGCTGAAAAAAATTAAATGGTATTAATAAAATATTAATGGACAGGCCTATGGATCAGCAAGGCCTAGGATCGCACATACACCAGCATCTTCAGTTGTCTTCTAAACTCTATACTTTTTTTACTCTCTCTCTCTCTCTCTCTCTCTCTCTCTATATATATATATATATATAGGGAATATTGTTAAACAATGTTGAGCATAAGGTTATTTCATTGATCGATGAAAATTATATTACCTGTATAAACCAATACCAGTAGAAGAAACTAAAGACTCTATTAATTAAGGGCATTTTTTTAAATGATAAATGACCATCAAAAAAAAGAGTTGGATGCTAGTCTAATGTGTAGTTTTATTCATGTGAACTAATATAAAAATATAGGGTTACTTATATCAAGAGTTTATCAATTATCAGTGAATATTAGTTTTATTTTATTTTTATAAATTTGTATATTTAACTCTTTTAACTATATATAAAAGAGCACATCTCGTCTCCAGTGGATTGGACCCTTTTTTTTGGCCCTGCGGTGGCCACCACGAATTTTGTCTTGACAATTTGAAAAAGTTTATTTTTTATACCACAACATGTAGATTATTCATGAAAAAAATCAAATCGATTCGATAACCATAACCACATTAATTTATTATTTGTTTCCAAAAAAAATGGATCGTCTACTTTTCAAATAACATTAGTCGTTCATTTTTTTGTAAATAAATCTCATGAACTAACGTGACTGCAATTATCAGATCAATTTTTTTTTCATGGATGATTTATGCGTTATGGTCTAAAAAAGGAACAGTTCAAATTTTCGAGACGGAATACGTGGTGAGCTCCACGAATCCAAATAGTATAAATGCTCTTCTTGAGAGGGGTGAATGTAATGTATTTTTTTTTATAATTAAATAATTTCAAAAATAAAAAAAGTAAATAATATTTATTAATAATTGATAACGTCTTGACATAATTAACCTAGGGGGATTGGGTACCATCTAAAAAATCTGTTTATTAGTGATTTATTTTTCTCATATCATCTGTTTATTTTTTTATACGTCATTTTATAATAAATAAATAAAAAAATTATACCTAAACCACCTCTGAATATTATACAAAGATTCAACTACTCTCCGATCGGGAGATAGGATTGGACCCAACAATTTGTTTTGGTGGCCCCAAATAGGTTCGATAATCTAATAGTTTGTTTTTTAAATATTTATGTTTAAATCATTTATAAAAGAATTATAGTAATTGAATAATCATAGTTGCACAGTTTCATTAGTTTTATTTTATTTTGTTTTTAAATATTTTTAAAATAAGAATATTAGAGATTCATAATTTAAAAATCATAATTCATTCACAATGATATGACAAGTTAAGTCTTAGACGGTTAGCTTTATAACAAATCAAAAATCGACATATAACATACCATGATAAATTAATCTTTTTTTTAAAAAAAAAATATACTTACCATTTAGTTTTTGTAAGACAAATTTGATACAATTGTGTGATTATAATTATAAAATCAAGAAGAAAAAAAAAAGTTAGTGTATATTTCAAAAAATAATTATAGATTGATGAAAAATTTTATGATTTTAAGTATTACTATTTAGGATAAATTACACTTACCTCTCCTAAGATTTCTGACAATTAAAAGAACCTTCCTGAGATTTTGAAAATTACACTGGCCTCCCCTTACTTTACTTGACAATATACAAATACCTCCATTCTATTGACACTGTTAATTTTTGCAATGAAATATCCAAAATACTCTCTATTTACTCTTTTTCGTATTTTTTTCCTTCACCAACCATTAATTATTTCCCCTCTCAATATACAGTTACCCTAGTCACTCTGCTTGTTGCTTGTAGCTTAATTTCTAAAGTGAAATTAACGTATTAAATTTTTTTAATGTATTTTCATGATAATGTTACCCCTTTTTTTTATATTTATTTATCAAAATGTGACTCAATAATTTGGAATATGATATAATTCATTATGATTGAGTAACATTTTTATTATAAAAAAAAATCCGACCATAAAAGTATATAACTGTATCACAATTGTCATAACAAACAATATCTAATAATAAATTATTATCACACTATCGGAAAATTAGTTAATATTTGCTTAAAATTTTATAATATTTATAAAAAAAATACAAAATGGGTGATGCTTATGCCAATTATGATACTTATGGGGTTGATTATCACAAATGTTATAACTAAAAAAAATAATTAATTATAACTAAACACAACATAAGGTATGATCGAAGACTTTTTTTTATCATAATCAAAATAATAATCACAATAGGTAACCAACACCACAATAAGTCATAACCAAATCATCATTAACACCAAAATAGATAATCAAAAATTACAAATGTCATAATTTAGGCATATGGTACACACCCCAAAATAGTGTGCATATCATAGAATTTCTCTAAAAAATACATACAATATACATATTTTTTTACGGTCTTCATATATATATATATATATATATTTTTGGCAAAATTCTAATAGCCTACGAAAGATGAACATACAACTTTTTTCACACAAAATCACCAGACTCACCACAAAAATTTGATCAATTCATTTTTTTTTTTCTCATTCATTTAATTAAGGTTAATCATTCCAAATTTTTTATTTCTTTATCCAATCAGGCATTCATGCTCTATCAAAAACACTAACCCAAATGTGTTTAATTTCAAAATCACTATTCAACCTGCCATAAAATTAAATCATGTTATTCTTCATTTTTTGTATCAGTTGGTTTGGAGACAAAAATTGATTATCGCCACCGCCACCGCA